TCAATTGTCGTTTGGCGATCCTCGGGAGATGGACTGTGCCAGGCTAACCTGCACAGTATTTCTACAATGCAAGTGTGGAATTGTCGCCATGCATCGTGATAGGCTTGCTCCCAGCTTGACACGATGGCGGAAAAGTTGGGATCCGCCGACGAGGACATCGTGAAGGGCAGTGATTGGGGTATACCTGTGCTGCAATGCATGGTTGTCAGCGAGTCAAAGCCCCTAAGAGAATTCATGAAGTGAAAAGAGACAGTGAGGATGTAACTATCAGGTGAGAAATGGATCGGATGGGTGAAGAACGAAAGGATGACTCGACGCGGTGGTAGTTGTAGCAAAGCCATTTCAACCTTTTCAAATCGAAACCGACTTGCTCGAATATGCTGAGAGTTAACAATGGAAAAATTCAATGCGTTTGTGCGTGTTCTTATTCCATGGGAATACTAGGGAAGGATCAGAGGCATAACAAAGATTTAGTCGTCTGAGCCACGACTACCAGGATCTACAGTGAAAGCAATCCAAGGAATATTAAGATCTGAAGTCAACGCGATCTAAGCACACAAAGGTCGTTGTTTAAATCGTTTGTCCCTTAATCTATCCATCCTATCTGGCAAGATCCAGAGACACGTCAAGGAAGGATATACACTAACAAAGCAAATAAAAGCCACAGGTTCTGCAAAAGACGTGTTCTCGGTTTGTTTTCTCACAATCTACAGAGTGTACAGCTTGGGAAAAAGGTATTCCTTACAGTATTGACTGGAGCATAACTCTTTATCTGCGCTTCGGTTTCACTGACTAATTGTTACCTCAAGAAACAAGCTGCAAGTTGCAATGCAAAACCTGTATTTTGATAGACGACTTCTTTTTCGATCTTCATAAGATAAATGAGACCAGGTAAGTAACTGCATTAAGATAGCTAAGATGATGAGAAACCCGGACTTACAAGGAGCCCGGCACATTTATATACCACATTCTTGTCATAAGCTAAAAGTAGTGCATACAAGCTTTCTTGGAGCGTAAGATGAAGGAGGTCGACCATTTGTTCTGAAACGCACTAGATGCACATGTTGACTGACAATTTGAGATAGTCATGCTTACTACAAGGTTCCTTGCCCTCTCTATTCGGATCAGGCATTCTGCTAAACCTTTAAGATCATTTCTAATACAGATAGTCGGCTAGTAATGTGGCCTTGTTGAGTGCTTAGCTTTTAGGAATTTTTTTGTGAAATTTCCTCCCTCTTTTCAGTTTCATAGCTCGACGGCAGAAAAAGACAAGGAAAATGCAAAGCGCACCGAGAGCTTTTCTCTGTATAAGTAGAGAAACGAGACAGAGATGAGATCGAAGCATGTTTTATTTCACACAAAGTCAGAGGTGATGTTGAAAAGATTGGCCTGTCCCATTTCAGCGCGACTTCCAATACCTAAAACGGTAGAATATAAATCAGCATCATCATTTAATCGAGGTATTTCGGTCGAAGCAAATTAGTCTAGAAGTCCTACAGGCCTTAAGCCCTTGGTTATCTTGTCATCCCGACGTCCTTTCGAGGGTTCGAAAGCGGGGCCTGTAGGTGGAGATTGCAAGCTGTGGAGGCAACCAAAAAGGACATCCGTAAATAGCTCCAAAGTATCTAAATCCTAAGATATCAACTTATAGTTGTACGTGGAGATCAAAATCTTAGGAAAAGAAGATTCTGAAAACAAAACCCTCTGGGGCTGACCCGAGACCTCACAAACAAACCATCACGTCAGCACTCATCTGAGTCAGGTGCTTGTCAGTGACGTCGTGTTGTCAACACAAAGCAAGATCAACTCCCGAGGCCCGTTGAACAAAGAAAACATGTCCGACGCGATTCCCTCTACCAGTGCTGGCCCAGATACAATCGAAAGGTCCCTTCCCTCAAACGCCGAAGATCGAAAAGCCGCTGCCGCTCTTTCCTCCCTCAACACAAATGACATCACGACGGAGGGTGCCTCCGCCGGGGCACCGCTTACTGCAAGCCAAGAGGCCCTGGGAAAGGCTATGAGTCGGCTTGAGATAGCTGCTGGACAAGAATCGGACAACAAAAAGCTGGCTAAAAGACCAAAAACGGACGAAGTTGCGAAAAAGCAAACAGTCAAGGTTGCTCCAGCTGACGTTACACTGCTGGTATGTTTGCCATTTAAATGGCTTTGCTGTTCCTTTGTGTGCCGCTTGATTAATGTGAGTCTAGGTTGACCAGCTGGATGTAAATAAAATCAAAGCCACGGAGTTACTCAAGGCTCATGATGGGGATGTCGCCAAGGCAATGAAGGCATTCATTGCCCCATCTGTTCAAGTGTGATGACTTGATTATTTACTCATAGTTTAACGAGTTGAGCTGGAGCGAAGCAAATAGGAGGATTATTTGGTTTCTATCTAAAAGACCCGCTCTTCATGCTGTAGGGCCCGGTTGGCACGTTCAAGGAGTGCAAAAAATGCATGTTGTCAACATGTCAAATAAGATCACTCCTCATCTTCCTCTACCTCATCTTTCTTGTCTTCAATTCCTTTGCCCTCGTAGATTCTCCACAGCATAGCCCAACCAAGCAAAGACTCGACGGCCAGGGCCCACCAAACAGCCCCAATCATATTATTCTCCAGGCCTAGTCCCAGACCCCAGCCACCTAGAAATGGCCCCAGGGTCCGAGCTGCACTGGATACGCTCTGCGCCACTCCATGGACTGTACCTAGCATAGATGGATCCGTGACACAATTGTTCACCAGGATGACAGAAGCAGGCAGGATGAATGTTCGCGAGATGACCTGTAAGCCAACGACAAACGTGAAAGAAGGCCAAACAATCCATGGTATGCGTGGAAGAACCACAAGGAAGGGCATCAGCACGTAAGCAAAGGGTGAAAAGGGAAGGAACGTTCGGAATGACGTGAGCGTGCCGAGCTTTGTCTGTATCCGTGGATAGAAGAAGATCTGTAGTGGCAGGCCAATTAAACCAACGATAGCAGTAGCAAGCCCAACCCGGGATGAGGGAAGGCCTAGTCCACCACCGAAATGGAAAAGACCTTGTCGGGAGTTCTCTGGGGCACGGGGTGCGGGCAAAAACACAAATGTCATGGAGTTGAAGGCGCTTGTGTGGAAGGCGAGCAGGAATTGAGCCGTCAAAGTTAAAATAACATTGCTTGTCCAGATCTGGAGGAACCCTACTTTTTTAAACGGCCGAGGATGCACGCGAGAGCGGGCTGGGCTTGATGGTGTAGACCAGTTACCGACGCTGCCGTCCGTGTAAACAGACTCGTCGTCTCTGGAGCGTGTCAGTGGACGATAGTGCCGAGGTCGTCGGGTCCAAGCCCTTGTGAGTCGCTTGCCTAGGCTTAGACCCCAGTCCTTTCTATAACGTGTAATTTCATGGGTCTAAAGTGAGTTCATTGTTAGTGACCGTTTGAGCTAAGACGGGAATGATCTCACCTCATCAAGCCCAAGAAAGATTGCGAGGAATGATGCAAATATGAAGATGGCGCTCAAGAGATTCGGTAATGCATAGGGCCAGCGCTGCATCCACCAAACACCATCGTTACCTCCAAGGATAGATCCTGGGCCGAAAATTTGAGGAAAGCTACTGACAGGATCGGCCAAAGAGCCCCCCAAGATTGGACCTATGATCACCCCGACATTGAAGCACATAGGTAAGAGCAAAAAGGCGCGGGATTGATATCTAGATCATGAGCGTTGAATAAGTGGCATATTGTATGAACATATCAACTTACTTCTTCTCGGCTATGATCTCTGCAATCAGCGTCCGCATCACTCCCACATTGCTGTTCAATACCCCGCCCAGTGTTCGAAAAACCACGGCCGTTGTAAAAGATCGAGAGAAGCCAAAGCCTACACAAGACAAACAGGTGCCCATCAATCCGATCAACAGCACTCTCTTCCGTCCCATCCATTCAGCATCAGCCAGACGGCCCCACCAGACAGCGGTGATAAATTGCGCGGCTGTAAAGCTACCCTGGAGAATACCTGCCTGCGCGGAGATCTTCGAGTCTGGCAAAGACGGATCAAAAGATTTGAGCTGATAGAACAGGTATGCTTGTAGAGAGGTCTGTGTCAACGGCTCTGACAGTCGCGCCAAGGTCAAGATCGCCAACTGGCCCTTCTTCGGTAGCGAACTCCAAGTCACCGGTTTCTCCTCGTCCTCATCGGACGGTGTAAGCACGCCGTCGTGGTCGTTATCATCATCTTCGTTGGAGGAATATCTTCGGTGACTGGTTGCCAGCGGCGCGGACTCCAACCTCCTCTGCTGGGAGCCGCTTTCGAAAGTAGCGGTGTCGTCACTCTCAACATCGGTATCACTTTCAGCACCGGTCAAGTCTGCATAATGACCGATCAAGTCAAAAGCGTCATGGGATGCAATATGAACATTTCCTGGGTCCTCGTGGCGGTCTTGTCCGTGGTTCGGGGTTTGCGGAGAAGCCCCCATCAACGGAGATCCCGGCTCGGGAAGCTGTCACGCCACTGAGGTAGATACTCGGGGGTGTAGAACACTGCCGCTTTTCGTGATCCTACTTTGGCACTTGATGTCCGTACTTTGTATAGCGGTGACTCTTCTTATCTAGGAAGTGGAAGTTGAAGTGAAAAAGGTGCCTTGACTCCACGTGGGGTTGGTGAGAAGGATCTGTTGCCGAGTTAACCGCCAGGGCACTTAGGGCAAAAGAAACACCAGCCTATAACTGCCAGCGCCAATTCAAATTCTGCAGTTTAGTTTGTAGTATGTTCTATACATAGTTTATACTCCTTTTTGTTTCCAAAATAAAACAATTGCCGATCTGATTATGTAGTGCCATACACAGTTGTGTTGGAGAGGAAAAATATTGTCCATTCACACACACTGCAGAATATCAATTCCGACACGGCCTTGTTCCTCATCTGCACAAAACTCAAATCTCGACGTGAACAACTCATACTTGAAGCTCCTTTAAGCGGAGTATTTCCTGTTCTGCTTTCTTGAAGTAGCCTGTTACATAATGTTACTAAGCACCGGAGTATAGTCAAAAATGGAAGTCTCGGATGTTGGCGAAGGGCCGAGGCACGGAATGTGTGCTTAGTAAGTTTTCGCAGCTCAGGCTCTGCCCCCACGAAATACCCCAGTGTTCCCCTTCTGGCGCCTTCCTTTTTTAAATTCTCATTTTTTAAACAAATCAGCGGGTGCGGTGTGGATGTCAAGCTGAGACTGTGAGTTGTGCCCTCGGGTTTGTGGGCCACCCGATCCGGAGTTGACCAACTCCAAACCCACCACGAGGGCCCATCCGGGCTTAAATGCCAAAGATGAGACAACAAAGAGCCGCAAAAGACAGCAAATAGTAACGCCGAAAACACCTCTGTGGCAGCACCATGGGTGGGTCTAGACTTTTCAACATGCATCGGACAGTGGAGCTAACAGCATCATGTTGTAGCGCCGACTCCAGTACATTTCTTCTCACATGGCTCAACAATGATGCTTGGAGAGGAGTCCTCATCGGCTTGTTACTGGAAGAAATGCGGTGATGAGGCTCTTGAGCACGGAATTAAGGGAGTCGTTTGTATATGGTACGTATCAACATTTCAATGAAATCTAACCCGATCATCTGCAATCCCAACTATCAGCCGAACGTAGGGTGCTCATTGGGACTGCTTCGGAGACCAAATTCAGGTCTCTACATCTCCAACCCCCGGGAAACGCCCGGTTTCCCACGTCTATCCCTCTAAATATCTTGATTATAAGCTAAACAATGATCTCGAGACGGCCAACCGATGTATCAAGCTACTGGCAGATGCTGGGTTCAACGTGTGCGGCAACGATACGGTTGAATTGATTCACGACGTGTATCTTATCCTCATACGCATGTTTCCCAAGACATGCCCACCTGCCACACTTATCTCATTAAACGCGCGCTATGATCCCCATTACCACATGAAAGTCGGTTCGACTGTCCGTGAGCTGCGGAACGAGGGGTATCTTATCATAGGTACCGGTGGTGCAGTCCACAACCTGTATAGGAGTCGGTGGGCTCCCATACTTCGTTTCCGGGACAACTTCGCGCAGGAATCTGCCCCGGCATTGGGCGCTAGAATTTAGACAGGCCGTGGAGGATGTAATCACCACCACCTCGGGGCCACAGCTCAGACGGGCAATGACGAGACTCATGAAGCATCCTGAGTACCGGGATGCGCATGCGACAGACGATCGGTTCAGGCCGGCTATGTTTATGGCAGGCGCAGCTGGAGAATTTGAGGATGTGGGCTCACCAGCAGTCCTGGGAGCTGAGACGTGGGAGTTGACAAATAAGTGCAACTCTCAGTTCACTGAAGTTGGTAGAGCTTGAACTTTGACTCGGTAATTAAATAAGGCCAGCAGTAAACCCTTGATGTATGAAAAGTGAGCAGCAGTACGGAGAAAGACTCTGGAGCTTCATTAGAGTTAGGTTGTAGGGTAGAGGGAAAAGAAGAATTGTATTTATTATGGCCATCACCATAGCTTTGTAGCTTCTCCAAAATACATTGCATATTCTTTCTCTGGCCCTCTAGTTCCCTTGGGTGTACACGCGAGAGAGAATGGGTGCAATGGTACTCGAGGTTGAGGCTTTTCTAGAGCCCTGAACATGGGTTGAAAGAAAAATGACCGAGAATTGTCCGCAAAGAGGGTCGAAGAGTCAACATTTCTCTCAGCCCTTTGGAACGCTGATATACACGGACGTATCTAGGCTGATGAGTTTTGTAAATTGAGAATTGTAACATGTCTGTGCAAATCGGGCAATAGGAGATGCAATTAAATCTGTCTATGCTACAATTCCAAAAGCCATGTCTCAACGCATCTTCCAAACGTGATACCCAGCTGCAGCCCACATAGCAAACAGGGATGTGAAGATGAGAACTCCTCCTGTTACAAAGTCCTGCTCGAAGAACCCAATTTTGTGACCAGGGCGTTGCTACAGGGACGGCAGAGGGCTCATAAACTGGCACAGGGAAGTCTCAATGCACGGCTTACCAGCTGGCTTCAGGAGAGATCTTGCTAGAGTGGTATTTAGGGACTTGTGCAAAATCTGCCCTCGGGATATTTGGAAGAAATTCGGTGCATACCGGGATTCTTGACTAAGTGCAGTATTGAGAGGGAGAACTGGACCGACTAGAAGGACAGAAGAACAGTTGGAAAATTGAAGACCCCATGAATGAGGCGATATCTCTTACATAGCATATCATAAGGGACGTGGTTGATCCATGCCACTCCGGCATCGATTGATTCTGAAACATACTTCGCCGCAGCGGGTGCAGCAAAGGTAGAGGTTGCATTGAGCGTGCCCATGCTGGAAGGACTTTTAGCATGATGCTAGGCAGATAGAACATGAATCGGTGGTATACTGACGAATTGCAGAAGTTGATCGCATCATCTAGACTCGAGACCTGGTGGATCAAGAGAAGCCTCTCAGGTATCTTGGACTTCGTGAGAAAGGATTTCCGAGCTGGATTTTAGCATATCTCAAGTCTACGGGGCGCAAACTAAGCGATCACGGGACACTCACCGATCCTGACCCTTAACCACGGCCCAAACAGTCCCAGAAACGATGACTTGAGAACCTTCGTCTGACGCAATTCGTTTCAACAAAGAGGCACCGTTGCCTCCCTTTGACGTATTCTTGGCATGCTGCGATCGGCGACCCAGATAGCTCAGGGCGTGCTTAATTAAAAGATCAATAAAGGACTGAACGGAGAAATCATTTACAAGAATGACATCGGGCGACCATGGGAAGCGGAGTATTCTTTATATATACACTGGCATGAAGGCTTCCAGATCGAGCAACAAGTTGACTCTGCATGCCCATCAACGATTGCCTATACAATTCTCTTCGCAGCAGAAATATCCATCACTCCTTCACCTTCAATGACCTTAGCTTCAACAATGCCATAAACTGGGATCTCGGCAAGGCGAGAGATGATATGGTGCAAGGTAGGCAGCTGGTTCCACTCAAGGCCATCGATCTGAATGGTTCCTTGAGACGCGTTGAGCACACGGGTAATTTTGGTCGGCACAATTTGGGACTCCTGTGCATAATCGACAAACACTGGATACTCTGCCTCCGGGGTGCCCTTACCCTCTCGGCCCACAGAGGGCATATAGCGATGTACCAAGATACCCGGATCCGTAGACCCGACATCGGTTGACGCAGTCTTCTCCACCTCACTAAGACCAGTCAATGTCATCCGACCCCACACCGCGCCTCTCCAGCTTGTGGTAACATGATAAGACTCTTGCCGCTTGTTCACGTCGATGGTACTGAAAACCTTCGGGAATCCAAGCTCTTCTCTTCCGGAGAGGATAGGATCTGTGAGATCCTCGAACATGATTGGAAGATATGTTCCTCGAGTGATTTCTCCATTAGCTTGCTGATATTCAATTCCGTGGATGTAGAGCCCCATGTGGTTATATCCTCCTCCTGCAAGCCAGTCCAAGCCATCCAAGGTGGTTTGGGAGAAAGTTGCGTAGGCCACACTACCGTTTCCGGAGAAGCTGTATGCGGAATTAGGCAAAAGGTTCTTCAGCAGAGTCCGACTGGTTTTGATCTTGATGGAAGCTGTGCAGAAGCTAGCCTTTGCAGATGCCAAAGCTCGGCTACGGCCCCAAAAGTCCTGGCGAGGACCGGGCATTGGGCCGAACACAGATGGCTGCCGGTAGTAAGCCTTGGGGTTTTGAGTGCGCTGATGCTGTCTCAATAGTTCGGTGGCGGAGTCAAATTCGTCGTAGTCGTAAATCTCGGAAAGGATTTTCATTACTTTGGAAACCAAAAATATTAGCTCACACTCACTCGTCGGGGAGCAAATTGTAAATCTCAGGGTGAAGTAAGTCACAATTTTGAGAAGAACAAGAACTTACCTTTGTCCACCGGCAAGTGGCTTCTTCCAGACTCCCTTGTATATTCTTGAATCCGAGTGACTCGTTCGTGGCGTGCAGTCTCATAAAGCTTCAATCGCTCCGGGATCTGCTCCTTCGGAAGGTCACCTGGGAGTAGAACACCCAGAGCAATACCATCTTCGAGTGCCATGGCACCGCCAGATGCACGATAAGGTAGGAATGGATGAGCTGCATCTCCAATCAATGCTAGGCGGTGATCAACCCAAGTAGGAAGAGTTTCCATGTCAAGGAGAGGCCAGATTTTCAGTGTCTGAGCATCCGCTTTTGCCAAAATTTTGCGAACTACGGAATCGTAGTTTTTGTAGATTTCAAGTAACGTGTCCTTACCAACGGTCTGGTCCCAGCCTCCAGAGACTCCAATATTGGTGAGATTATCGGGGTGAATACAGACAAAGTTGAGCATTTCATTGTTGACGCAGGGGTAAATAACCACGTTGCTGTCGGAGCTGTGCCACATGTCGACAGATCCAAAATCCCGCACTAGATGGGCAGTCTCAGGATCATCAAGCACTTCCTTACGCGAGATCATGAATCGGAAAGCATTTTTGCCTGAGCTGAAGGGCTGCTTATCGGAACCACCAACGTGACCCCGGGTTACAGAGTGCACACCATCAGCACCGATGACAACATCACCACGAACTTCGGTTCCATCCTCAAGGATGACAGTTGCAGTCTTTGGATCAACTCCAGTCACCTTGCTGGAAGTGTGCAAAACCGCAGGCTTTCCCTTACCAGGGGCCTTGGCCTTGTTTTTCAGCCCTTCGTGAAGGTGAGCACGATGAATCAGAAGCCATTCCTTATAACCACTGTTAGCTTTCTCTCTAGATCCTAGGAAGGATCATTGCTTACATGCTGCCAAGTATCCGCAAATTGAGTAAGGCTCCCAGTGAAAACGAGTTTGCCATCGGAGGTGTAGTCTCGAATCTTTAGTTTAAACTGTAAGTCTTCACTGCAGTCATGAACAGTTTTGCAAGGTTTTTTACCTGCTCCGTTTGTACGGCGCCATACTCAGAAGCTTTAAATCCAATCCTCTTCAAAAGACCGTTTGCATTGGGAGTAAGGTGAATGGCTGCGCCAACCTCGTTGGCGAATTGAGATCGCTCAAACAACTGTCACTCGGTCAGCCGAACTGAATGCAAAGCTGCGATGAATCATGCCACAGAATATCTCTCACTTCAACTTCATGGCCTTGCTGACGAAGAGCGATAGCTGCTGCTAAGCCACCAATGCCGGCCCCGACAATGAGCACTCTCAGGCCATTTGCAGGGGAGTTCACGTCCATCTTGGTTTCAGTGTTCATCTCTGGATGTTGACAAGAGTAAACGACAGTTTAAACAGGGGAAAATCAACATAAAAAGAACACATAATTTCCCGCCATCGAAATCCGAAATATTGGCAAAGATCTACACTCGGCTCCATTGTCTATTCCCATAACGGCCCCATCCTACATTGCCCCAGGTTGCCGATCCAGTTCGGCTCCACATACCCGAAACTTGCACATGACGTGATCTTGTGCATTAATCTATTTCTATTTATTGGGAGACACATTGAGGGGTCATATCTCTCAATATATCCAGTTTTTGACAGGAATCCTCATCATGCCGAATCCCATCAAGGACATCACCCGCGTGGACGCGACTTCTTTCCCCTACATTTTCGAGGAGAACGTTACCATCCGTCTTGCGAACGACGCCGGGGTTATTCGCTGCAATGTGTACCGTCCCAAGGATGTTCCTAACGCACCCGTTTTGGTGACCTATGGTCCCTATGGCAAAGATCTTCACTACAAAAAGTGTGTAGTTTCTAGCGTTTTTCCTTTCCTATCTGGTACTGATTTTAATATCTAGCTTCGCCATCAACTCCTACAATGAAGTGAATCCCGAACATCATTCCGATCACTCTGCGTGGGAGACTCCAGACCCTGGCTTTTGGACAAAGCACGGCTATGCTGTCGTTCGTGCCGACGAGCGGGGTTTAGGTCAGTCTCCTGGGGTCTTGGATACCATGTCTCGTGGCACCAGCGAGGCCTTTGTGGATGTGGTTGAATGGGCCGCAGAACAGCCTTGGTCCAATGGAAAGGTCGGCCTTCTTGGTATCAGCTACTATGCTGGCAGCCAGTGGCGTGTAGCTGCACGCCAGCCCAAAGGATTGGCTTGCATCATTCCCTGGGAGGGAATGTCCGATTACTATCGTGACCGTTGCCGCCACGGCGGTATCCTGTCGAATGCCTTCATTAAGTTCTGGTGGGATCGCCAAGTTGTGTCGAATCAATACGGTCTCGCCGGGCGCGCGGCCCGCAACTGGGGTCCTGATACCATCGAAGGCGACCTCTCGGAGGAGGAGTTGGTCGCTAACCGGAACGATCAGAATGTTGACAACCTGAGGAACCGATTCCGTGATGATCCTTACTATTCCTCCAAAGAGTACAACATGGAGGATATCAAGGTTCCCCTCCTTAGCGTGGCTAACTGGGGTGGTATCCTGCTGCACCTACGTGGTAATGTGATGGGTTATCTGAATGCTGGATCAGATTTGAAATATCTTCGTTTCATTACTGGTCGCCACGATTTACCATTCTACTATAAGGAAGAAGTTGACATTCAAAAGAGCTTCCTGGATGCCTTCCTGAAGGGAGAAGATAAGGCTGGCTGGAGTACGGGTGAAGCACCCAAGGTCGATATTTTGCTGAGAAAGGGCAATGTCGGTTTTAACAATGCTGAGGCAGAGAAGACATATGGTCGACGAGTCGAGAACGAGTGGCCTATTGGCCGGACTCAGTACACCAAATTCTTCTTGACTCCCTCTCAGCAGCTGGAAACCAAGACACCAGAGCCAGAATCCAAGCTGGCTAAGCTCAACTATCGCGCGCTGGGAACTCTCGATAAACCCTCCCTCCTGCAATTCTCCACTCCCGCCTTCGAGCAGGAAACCGAAATCACGGGTCACGTCACAGCTCATTTGAACGTTTCCGTTACCCCAGACAAGGGCGGTCATTTGCCTTCCGATATTGATCTCTTCCTGACTCTTCGGTATATCTCTCCCTCGGGAGAGGAAGTTTTCTATACGGGAACCGCCGGCGATCCTGTGCCTCTGACCAAGGGGTGGCTCCGTGTTAGCATGCGGAAGATTAACAACCAGCACTTGAGACACAATGAGCACATCCCCTACAGAGACTACTTCTCGAGCGATGTCTTGCCCGTTTTACCTGGTGAGGTTTATCCCGTTGATGTGGAGATCTGGCCTACCAACATCGTGGTTGAGAAGGGCGGCAAGCTCATCCTGGAGGTGGCGTCCGGTGACACGCAAGGCTCGGGCATCTTCCAGCACAATGACCCGACTGACCGGTGTGTTTCAATTTTTTCCCCACACGCTCATAAGAATTTACTGACACGTCATGTAGTGCCGCCGAGAAATTGCAGGGAATGAACCATATTCACTTCGGATCGTCCTACCAGAACTTTGTTACCTTACCGATCATTCCCAATGCGTAAGACTATAGGCACGGGAACTTTTATTGCCGAGGAAATTAGCCGACATTACCCATCAAGGTGGAGCCGAAGAACCCGAGGGGTGGGGGAGGGGCCGAGGTGACCTTGATCATGTGGACCATGGCACAAAACAGAGTCGTCGATAGTAAAGATATTGCTTTATCAATACTTGAGTATATATATCTTTCCTTCAGTACTATGTGAACACACGAATTCAAATTTTCAACATTATCTGCTCTTCGGTCTTCCATATCAGATCATACCAACTTTTATTCAAAATGAGCACCGAACTTCCCTCCATCAACCGTTATATTACCACTCACGACCAAAATGGCAAGGCTGTCTTTTCCACCCGAGTCCCCGAGCCTGTGCCCCAGCAGGTTGTCAATGGTGTCCCATTCAGCTTAGCATACACCTCCAATGAATTCCCAGCCCAGCTGTCTGAAGACGCTGATATTCAGAAATATCAGGCCAATCTCATTACGCCTCCCGGTCTTGCTATTTCGACCGGAACCGTTTGCCGAATTGTCGACTTCCCACCCGCTGCTGAAAGTCCTATGCATCGCACTGTTTCGTTGGATTATGGTGTCGTTTTGGAAGGCGAGATTGAACTTTCTCTGGATGGCGGGGAGAAGCGAGTTATGAAGAGAGGCGACGTCTCAATTCAGCGAGCTACAAACCATGCCTGGAAGAACATAACACCTAATGGCGGATGTGCAAGAATGTTGTATGTTCTTACCCCTTGCCAGCCTATCAAGGTGGAGGGCTTGGGAGTACTCGGCGAAAACATCGTGGGTATTGATGTGGAGGCTAGCAAATAAAGGGTTCCAAGGCTGTGGGTTCTTGTAACCACGTATACTAGTAGCAGAAAAACATTTTGAGAAATCATCTGACAGTGTAAAGCTTGGACTTGAGTCTAAGCATTCCGTGATGTCTCTGAATATGTTTGTAACACACAAAGTTCAATGGAAATAGTCCATGGCTAGCATGGAGATTGGCTAACACATTTCAACATTTGACAAGCATTTATCGATTCACTGTCAAAACAACATTTTGTGGTTAGATGAAATTATACTCTACAGATTACGTTGTATCTATAAGTACGCAGAAAACTATCGGGCATTTGTTGGCCTGGGAAGATCATAGATCATGCAAAAGTCAAAAACTCGTTAACTTAAGTGGTTAGAGAGTTACATATCACCGATTGGTACCATCCATTGTCAGACGTCTGTCATCAGCGCCAAAACAGGGTTAGACCTACTTGGGCAATGTCCGTGGAATTATCCCGCTTACTCAGCGGTTGCTGTCGATCCGGGGAAGGGCGCCGATGTGGTCCACTTCCTCCCGATACCTTTAGATAACCCCTCGGTCACCCATTGACGACACCGAAGTCCCTTGACGAGTTCCCGAATTAACATGAATAGCGTTCACCGAGCGAATGTGGCTGCTTATGCATCCAATTCGCCACGCACTCCTTCCAGGGGGCCTGCCCGAGGATTTTACCAATGTGGAGTCTGCAAGAAAGATTATGGCCGAGCGGATCATCTCATCCGCCATGTCCGATCTCGTATGTTGCTTGGCTAGACACCGCAAGTAGTTTGAAAATCGGGACTGAGAGCTGATGCCCTGATATAGACACCGCGGACAAGCCGTTCAGCTGTGATGTATGTGGCAAGGGGTTCGCAAGAATGTCAGTTCCTTTTCAACAAGCAATGTCACTGTACTTCGACTTTAATAGTTTCTCAGTGACCTCCTCCGACGACATGCCCAGGGTCATAACGCTGCACATGGCCATAATTTATCCCCAAGAATCAGAGGACGTGTATCGCAAGCATGTAAGAGCTGTGCGGCGTCCAAGCTCAAGTGTGACGATGAGAAACCATGTCGACGGTGCTTGCGGCGAAACCAGAACTGCCAATGGTCCCATAGGGATGATCTAAACGCACTGGCTCACGGTAAAACACCTACTGCATCGGTAGATTCCCAAAGATGATGTTGCTAACTTTGATGCCAGAACAAGAGATTTGGCCTACCGATCAATCGGAGGAGGGGCAAAACGGTGGGATTCAACTTTTAATAGTCTTAGGCATGTTTCTGACTTTCACTCACGAGGGAAGACTTTTTAACGGTTGCACGAGACCCTGAGCCGACGAGACCACATAACGGCGGCCGTTTGGGCAATTCTGAACTTCAGGCTCCGTCGGATGATATGATAACAACCAACGAAATTGATGGTATCACCCTGCTCATGATAATCAAAACTACGCATCCAGAAACTGAGTCATGATTTAAGGAGCGAGTGTCAGCTCACTCCAATACGAAACCTTCAACGAAGAAATGACAGATTTGAATGCGTTTCAACTGATGGTCAGTAAATGTTGCTGTTATCAACGGTTATGTCGCTGTTCAACTATACTGATCAATGGTGCAGGGTTATGATCAGTTGAATGTGTATGGCGGTATGAACTTTGAGCTCGGGTTGACAGATGCAGATCTCGAACTCCTTGACTCCTTGAATAGAGCCTGCCCTCTGCAACAACCTCGGTTTATTCAGGAGGAACAGCCGGCTCGGCGAGGTATCCCGACTAGTCCGGGGTTTCCCAATAATGTCAACACAAATCCTCTCCATGATTCCCCTTTGTCTCATTGGACTCCCCGAGCGGAAGACAATGCGTACATGGATCAGCACTATCTGTCCGTACCCCAGCATCTTGACACTCCAGAATCTACAGGTATCCCCAGTCCACGCATTTTTGCAGAGCCCTTGTCGAAAGAGAGCCGAGATGCGGCATTTGCATTAGTTGTCGAAAGATGCCATCAAAAGAGCTCGAATCGAATCATGCAGTGCTTTCCAAGCGCAGAGCTACTAGATAGTCTGGTTCAATGTTTCTTTACACAACAGAGATCCAAAATTGATGCTTGGATTCATGAGCCAACTATGCAACTGAATCAAGAAAGCCCAGAGATGATATTAACTCTCGCCGCTGCGGGAGCAGTTCGCTCCGACGTGGAGGCAATCCAGAGACTTGGCTATGCTATGCTGGAGGTGGCTAGACTTCAAGTCAATGGCAAGGTAATCACTGGCTACCGTGACTGTTAGATATCGAGGTGCTCACTTCCAGTAGTATGAAGATAGCAATATTCTGACTCGCAATTTGAAACAACACCAAGAATATGTCCTCATTCTTCAAATTGGACTTTGGAGTGGTGACAAACGGCGCGTTGAAATTGCAGAGAGTTTTTCTCAGCCAGTCGTGACTGTCAGTCAAATACCTTGTTTCCTAGACGTCGTTGTCATGTCCTGACTTTTGAGCAGATGCTACGACGAGCTGCGTGCTTTAAACATGAAGCCTATCCCACTATCATTCCCACTCCGACCGATGACGATGCAACCCTCGAGCGCAAATGGCGCGAATGGGTCGAGCATGAGTCATTCAAAAGGTGATCAAGATATGCCTCCTATTAGATTTCTTGCATTTTCAAGAAGACACACTGATGCGGGATCACAGGCTTGTTCACCACATGTTCATTCATGACGCCCAAGCATCTGTCATGCGATCCATAAATTCACTTATCTCTCACATGGAGCTGGATCTCCCTATGCCCTTCTCACGCAAAATTTGGGATGCGAAGACCGCCGCTCAATGGAGGTCCGTATATCTCCAAGAGGTTCCAAAAAAGACATCTCCCATACCATCGTTGGCCACCAGCTTGCAAAATATCTCCAGTCTCAGCCGTTTCCCTCGTCATGGTGATTTTCGATTAGCCGCACTAGCAATTGTCCACGGCATGTCAACGATGGTATCTGACTGCAACCAACCACGTCACGGACTATCCGGCCAGTGGAGCGCGCTGGTCCTGAATTTATGGCAGCAAGAACTACTGCAGGTTCTGGAGCAATTTGAAATTGTTGCAGTTGAGCCCCTACAGCGCCTGACCCCGGCCATTCCGCTTATCTACCAAACCGTCTCACTTTCGTTATACCTGCCACTGGGTATCCTTGAGACCTTTTCGGGGAAAGATGGTGAAAAACGGTCATCTGAAATCTACCAGTTATTTATTCGACGAATCAGTGCGTCCAATCTGCGACAGGCAAGCTGGCATGCTGGTCAGGTTCTGCGCATCGCAAGATCTATGCCTTCTGGGTCACTTACTGGGTTTTGTGCTACCTGCGTCTATTTTTCTGCGCTTGCATTGTGGTCGCTGAGCACCATAATCTCGTCGAGCGATCTGACTTTAGATGCCGGAAACGATGATGATGAAACCGTGTTTCTCTTGGATGGCGAAAGTGACAGCGCTGCACTGCGTCGATTCACACTCTTTGGGCAGGGAACCCCGGCCATATCATCTTTTAATCAACATATACCCTTGAACGATCGAGCGGGGGTCATGCGCTTCTTTCAACAATTGCTACGCTTGAAGTATCATGGAGGCAACTCTGATCAGCAAACGAGGGCTTTGAATAATGCGTTCTCCGTGCTGGGAAATACTTACTCCTCTACTATTCGAGGGCAACGGAAGAGGAAGAATTCGGAAAATTGATCAAAGTCTAATCGCATGGAATGCTCCCGATTCGTCGTCGCTGCAGCCAACTAAGGACCCGATGGAATTTGAGTCGATTAGGGTAGCGGTGTAGGTCATCTATGCCCACAGCAATAAGTGTTGTTTTTTTTTCGTATTTTTGCATGAGCTACATTGTGATGGAAGGTAGGGTCATTATCAATGCAACCCTGGCCTGATATGGTGTATGGTGTACAATCAACACAAGTGACCGAGCAGGCTGTGGGAAGTGAGCTACACATCTAACAAAAATAAGTTGACCAAAGTCATGTTTAGGGTCCATCTACTCCAAACAGTACACTGCGGCATGAGAATGACAGGAGGGTGAGTACCTCAAGCGAAACCCAGTGACCAATTCTAAGGTCCTCGGCGGAAGCTCTAGTCCATACGCTGAACGGGGCTGTTCGGTATTCCTGAGCTACGGAGCAATCGTAATAGCTCACCTTGAATAAGATCCGACCTTTAGTCAAAGCTCTTTCCATGCTCTTACTGCGCAGTTCAAGGATCAAATTTAGAAATTAGTTAGCACCTTGAAACGTAAGGCAATTGCAACAAAATCGGCCCATAACTGCCTCAACCAACCCACGGCTCAGTGGACTTTTACTATAGAACAGGATCCGAGACAAAACAATCCGGTCATTTCGGGTCGATAAAGCGGTCAATTAAAGCACGTATAGCACCTCCCT